TTATTAGCATGGCAGTTGATATTCACTCTGTGATATGGTTAACAAATGTAAATCAAAATTAAAAATAACAAATTCAGTACAGAATAAAATTACACAATTGCATTAAGAATAAATAGGAATAATTATGCTGCCCTGTGAAAAGTATGAAAATTTGGAGACCAATTATTTACCATGAGGAAAGAAAGATGCTAACATCTGCAAAAAGATGCTTTGTATAATTCTGAGTCAGAGCAAGTCCTGGTCCTAATCCATGGTTTGCAGAATTATGCATTTTAGGAATTTTAGGAGGAGGGACTGAGTGCAGTACATGCTGGCTGTGTGTTGAGAGAAGTTGAATATATCAATAGCACGCTCATCAGATGACATTTGTTTTATTATTTATCAGATGACATTTGTTTTATTATTTACTGTGGATGGGACTTATGGTAATTTAAAATAGAAGTAAAAGTAATAGCAGTGTAGAGCAAAACAAAGACAATAAAAAATATACATCAGCAACTGTGATTGAATTAACTTTATACTATTGTAACTAAGAGAGGACATTAATGAGCCAGGATAACTCAGTTACCTCATTGACTATAGTTTGGGATTCTGGGGTTCAATTTTCAGTGCAGGCAGGAACATTTCTGTACATCCACACCAGTCCGAAACCCCATTCCCCAATCTGGCACTGGAGATAAACTTAACAAGAGTATGAAGCTGATCACTCTGCTAATAGTCTCTACAAGCACTTTGTTGTTATTTGTCGAATTTCCCCCAACAAATTACTCCTTGTAACATGATGAAGTAGAAATAAGTAAGGTTTGGAGTGCTTGGAGTTTTACTTCCACACCTAAATACCATTATGTCATTGTGCTAAGGCAGAGGGCAACTTTAGTTTCAGAGGACAGTCATTAACAGGAAGAAGGAATTATGAAGCCTGTGCTAAAACAGGAAAATTGGAATAATAAAATCAAGATAAACAAAATGTGGAAATAAAAATAATGTTTTAAAATGTTCAG